TCAGTTACGTATTGCTTACTCATTTGAACAGGATCCGACTGTTAAATCTCCATGGATAGAAATGCATAGCGCACATTTATTCTTGTATGATCAATTATGCATTAACTGCTTTGAATTTTTAACGATAGTCATTATTACTAGGTTTCTGACGTCGAGCAGGGCGGCTATACCAGGTTTCTGAATGTTTACGCAAACCCGTAAAGGGTTCGATGGTTATGTGGCAATCCTGCATAAGTCTTGATCCCGACAGACGGCTTTGCATGCCGGCTGCCCTGCAATCAAGGGCACCAAGCGAAGTAAGTTCACATTATACATACGCATTAGAATAAATAAATAATATATTCATTTACTACAGTTTGCAATATTTGGGTCCATTCTGATATCAGGAATTTAGCCATCCCGTGGTTTAATACGTGACAACTACAAGTCGGCTCATGTCAACAGAAATAATAACAAATATATAGGTATATATTGCAGTTAAGTTAAAATAATTCATTTTGTTTCTAAATAAGCTAATAAATATACTCATAAACATCTAATTATCTCATGATATATATGGTATGTACAATTATGATCTCTTTATTTATTTATCTCTCATACACATGAGAACAGAAACACTATTCAAAAATATGTACATATGTTTGTGTTGGTGTTAAAATTAGGCCGGCTTGTTTATTTATAGTCGAACTTGTTTGCCAAATATGCAAAACATAAAACATCATTATCATTTGATGCCTAAAGCGCCAATTCACTTATATGTAATGTTGGCCTCATTGCGGTTTTCAACTCAGCTGCATGGATTAAAGTCTGAAATTCGGTATTCTCGATATCAACTCGAATTCGCAAAAAGTTTCGGTTGAAGTGTGGTAACTTGTGATATTGCGATTTCAACTTCATGCCAGTGAGGTTGACTAGAGTATCGCACTTCAACTGCCACAGCAAATTGAAAATATAAGTTTGTTTACGTGAATCTTTTTAGGGACAAATACTGAGGCTTCAGGAAGCGCTTGCATAGTAAAGCCTATTTTTAAAGATTTTTCAGAATTTTAATGAAAACACAGTAGTAGTTTTAGTAAATATTATTATTGAGCCTTTGGCTGTACTTTGATTTTTAATGCAATAAAATATGAGAAATAACAGGCACCTTAATATACAAGTATGTACTTATGTATGGTATATACTGGTATAAGAGCATATACATAGTATTGTAGAAAAACTACGAAACCACTTTATATTCTTCGTTCGATAAAATAGGGATTGTCATATTAGGCTGCATCCTCTTTGCATAAAATAAAACCAATCGATATACCAAGGACAAGTCGACCAATCGTCATTTAGAATTTATTAAAAAAGCAAAACGAGATCCTACAGGAGCATAGTACGTTTTCGAGATTGCTGTTCTAATCAACCAAAGGCCTATATGTGCGAACTTAAAGTTGTCGTTTGCTAATTTTCCTAAAAAGTGTGTATTGATTGACGAAAATTTTTTATTAAAATAAATGATTATAGTAATATAAAACTTTTTAAATATATTGTATTAAAAATTCTTATAGTTAAAAAAAAAACGAAGGACATAAACAATTATTATTATACCCTGAACAGCATGATGAGCTGAGTTGATTTAGCCATATCCGTCTGTCTGGCTGTCTATATGTATACAAAATAGTCCCTCAGTTTTTAAGCTGTCGATCAGAAATTGCACCTGTCCTTTCCTCACTAAGAAGCTGCTCATTTGTCGGAACGGCCGATATCGGATGACTGTGGCATATAGCTATCATACAAACTGAACAATCGGAGACAAGTACTTGTATGGGAAACTTATTTATTTGACGTAATATCTTCACGAGATTCGGCATGGATTATTATTTAAGCCAATAATGCAATCTTCGAAAAAATTCTTCAGATCAGATCACTATAGCGATCGGAATCAAGGGCTTTTATAGAAAACTCTTTCCTTTGACAAGGTATTTTCATGAAATTTAGCACGGGTTATTATTTACGGCAATAATGGAATCTCCGAAGAAATTGCATAGATCGGATGACTATAGCATATAGCTGCCAGATTAACTGAAAGATCGGGAAAAGTACTTGCATGGACAACTCTCTCATTTGACGAGGTATCTTCAAGAAATTAGGCACGGGTTATTGTTTGAGGCAACAATGTATTATCCACAGAAATTGTTCAGATAAGATCACTATAGCATATAGCTGCCATACAAATTGAACGAATCATGTTCTTGTAAGGAGTCTTTGGTATTATTGCTTCGGTGCAACCGAAGTGACGTTTTTTCTTTTTTTTTAATATTTGATGTGCTGAGATAAAATCCACTATATGCATTTCAATAAATCGCAAAATTTCTAAGTTTCGTAAAACTCTCTAAAGTTTTGAGTTTCTTCTCGATCGGATTAAGATCGGAGCTATAGCCGTCTCCAAATATTTTGTTTAAAAAAAAAAAAACGAAAACATGGAAACTTATCAGCTTGTTTATCTTTTACCATATGTAATAACTAAACAAAATAAGTAGAAAAGTAGCTTAAACAAATAGTACTGAGATATAGGATTTTCGGCGTACGAAAAATGCTCCCAAAAGGATGGTAAAAGAATATGGTCTAAAATTTGTGAATACTTTTCCGAGCTTATAGTTCCATCAATTAGTGGCAGATCTTCGACCCCATATTAAAAACTCATTCACAAATCAATCCGGATCCTCCTACGTTTTTTGAAACATTCTCCGACTCTACGTCGCACGTTGGACATACTATCCGAACCAAAAAGGTTTATTTTGAATTCATTAGAATTGTCCAATAATTTATGGCCAACTAATTGTATATTTTTGGACATTGTAGCCACAACGCATTTTAAATGTCAACATGTTTTTTTCTTAGCCGGCGCCCATAAAATTTAATCTCTTTAATTTAATAGGATTTTTATACGGTTCAAGTGTTCATTTTCATTCCATCCGATTGGACACACTTACACCTTACTTCTTCTTCTACGTCTTGCAGTTTTAAATCGGTTTGACATGCTTAGGTGCTTCAGGATACGACTTTCCTGTTGGTTACTCTTCTTTTTCCTTTCAGTACCGCAGTTTCGCTTAAGAGTCCTGGTCTTTCGAAAATTCTTTAAAAAGATAACCGAAAGAAAATTATTTTAGCACTAATATCAGAAAGGCTTAATTTCTCCGACCTCGAAGCCAATACAACACCTTGGGCTGATTCTGTCATCGTCGATTTATTTCACTTTATATTTATTTTTCATTCACTAATATCGCTTCAGGAACACTATACCCAAACGTGAATTATTCAATTGATAAGAACAAAAAACTGATTAAAACCTTTGGACATCTGTGGGCACATAAAAGTTCGCATACAAAACCCATGTGTTGTAGTCTGATATAAAGTCAACTTGAAAGACCGCGATCGGTAAAGTTCGGTATATGGAAGTCACCAAGTTTTGAAATAGAGTTCATACAAGTACAAATATGCCAAGTTTGGTTCGAAATATTTATTTATGTGATGCATCTATTATATTTATTCATGCTAGAATTAGTGATTATAAAATCACATATTGTAATGGGTTTCTAAGCGGCGTTATATTTGAAGTGGGCTTGGTTTCAATTCGAAATCTACCGACTATTTTCATCATGTGAACAAATATATTATAATTGTACTCCATGAACAAAGTTGGGAAAGTATTAAATATTTTTTTTGAACATGTAAAATTATGACTAATTTCCTCTAGAAAAAATTTAAATAATAGTCAGGGTTGTGGTGAAATCTGATAGCACAGGGAATTAGCATAGAAACTCATACGTCAGGAATTCTGATATTATTATTTTGATGTTGGAATCAAAAAGTGTAGATCCATTCAATAACCATCTGATTTGCTTTCCAAAACAATCCAGAATATACGAACAAATTGTGCCAACTATTTTGCTAATTATAGAATAGGTACATACTTGTATATAATATAAAAGTATACATCTATGTACATATATAGGTATGTATACACTTGAGGATTCGAAATAAACTTATTTGAGTGTTCTATACTAGACACATTTGTATTTTCTTTTACTACGATATTTACTTCTCTCCAAATATTGAGTCCATACAAAGTTCAACATTTATATAACAGATAAAGTAAACAGTGCTTGACAACTTTCAAAAAAATACATGTTTGTATACACACATACATGAGTGTAAATTTGATAGAAATATGTATTATATACAAAATATACATATATATTTACATATGTAAGTGCACATCGATCAACACATTGTTTCCGTATCACTTATCCATACTCATAGTAACTAAATGTGTATGTATATACAATCATATATAAGCCTTAAGTAAACTGAAACACCTGCACATAACCGTTGTATGAATGACTTACTCCGAGCCACGCTTTCCTGATCGTCACAACGGTAAGTAAAAAATACATTTTCATTTAAGGAATAGTATTGGAAGCGTCAAGAACTTAAGCTTCTTCAGACGAGAGAAAAAATCTGAAAAATGACTTCGCAAACGCAACTTCGAATTATAACCAACCCGAAGCCCAAAGTTAAGAGTAAAATAAGAATTAGTCTTCACTGCTACCTCCCACTACTCTTCATCGCACTTTGGACTGCCACGTGTCAAGCCGAGTACTTCTCATCAACCGACAGCTTACCAGTGCTGGCAGTCGCAGAGGAAGATTTAATACAGTGGTATAGGAATTTGCTCGATTCTCAGGCGGACGATTTTGCAGTATATCGCAAGTTGGTGCATAGTTATTACTAAAACCAGCTGTTTGGCATTACTAGTGAACTGTATAAATTAAATTTATTTCAGTTTCATAGAAAAAGTAAAGAAGGAACATGCATTGGCGCTAGAGGATCCCGAGGAATATCTGGGAAACCCTTTAAATGCATACAAATTAATTAAACGAACTGTAGTTGACTGGACTGTAATAACGGAAAATATTGGGTTTAACAAAGGCCTGAAAGGTGAGTGTTTGACGAATTTAAAAGTTTAATATTTTCACGTTCATTAGTTCCAATAATTGGCTTCTTCACACTAAATCAGAAAGCCATTTATTATTTTGGAAAAATAGCGAATTATTTAAAATAATTAATATTTAATATAGAGAATAAATATCACTAATTTGCGGATTTTATTGGATGTCCAAAATACCAATAATATAATTTTGTGGCACGGTTCTTAATACTGTACCGAAATTTGGTTTCGGGTTGACTACCTATTGTATTTTATCATGAAATTATTATTTTCCATTCACACTAGCCATATGATTATATTCTCAAAAACATAGCACTTAAGGAAAACCTAAATGCGTTAACTGCGGATATTTCTTTCCCTGACATAAGTGATCTACGTGCTGCGGCCAAAGGTTTAGGGCGCCTGCAGATCATGTATAACTTAAGTACAACTGATTTGGCAGATGGTATTATCAATGGCGTTAACTATGGGTGAGTAAAATTAGGAACGAAAGTTGAATTTTGGAATAACAAGTTAATATCTCCCTATTTCTCAAGTTCGGAACTCTCTGTAGACGAGTGTTTTGAAATCGGAAGCAGTCTTTTCGAAGTTAAGGAATACCCGTTAGCAAAAGAATGGCTACAGTTAGTATTGAAGCTGCTGAATATTGGTGAAGATGCGAGTATTAAGACTTCATTAAAGGATTTTGGTAATGAAGAGAACACAGAGGATGAACTAATTGAAGATGAAAATATAATAAGGGAAGTAGAAAATGCTATGTTTTCAAATATGCAAAGTAATGCTGACGATTACGAAGATAACAGTGGAAATGATGGCGACGAACACTTAGTATTGTACGAACTAGATGAAGAAGGTAATATAATTTACGAAAATGATATCGAAAGAAGCAACAACCATCAAGAAAAACCATCTGCATCCGAACAAGATCCACTAACAGAGAAAATATTAATCGAAACACTGGAATATTTAGCACTCGCCAACTATGAGTTGAGCCAACAAGACGAAATGCAGATTTACATTAACGAAATATTAGATATAAATCCGGAACATGTTTTTAAGAACTTGAGAGTTTATATGAATACTAAAGAACCTCAAAATCGCCCCGCTTTCGACAGTTTCTTTGATTTGCAGCGTTTCGAATGGTTTGCGAACTACTCACGTTTGTGTCAAGGTCAACAAGTGGAACAAAAAGGACTACATCAACTCAAGTGCAAATTAGATACTCTCAATCAACCACTATTCATATTGGCGCCATTGCGAAAAGAAGAATTGCATGCAGATCCCGAAATTGTCGTGTATCATGGAGTGCTAACCGATAAACATATTGATGATATACTTGATCAGTCCGAAGCACATATGGTTCGTTCACGTGTTGGCGGTGGAAATGAACATTTGGTTCGCGATGTGCGCGTCAGCCAACAAACTTGGCTAACATATCATAGTCCAACGCTAAAATACATCTATCGTACGGTATCGGCTATAACTGGTTTCGATTTAACGAATGCTGAAGATATGCAGGTGGCAAATTATGGCATCGGGGGGCAGTACGATCCGCACCACGACTATTTCGATAACTTTGTATGCAAACAAAAAATAATTTATAGTCGAAATGTAGGGTTCATAATTTTATTTTCTTTACTCATTTGAACAGGATCCGACTGTTAAATCTCCATGGATAGGAAATCGCATAGCAACACATTTATTCTTTGTATGATCAATTATGCATT